ACACTTCCGTTTTTTTTCGATCCGTCGCTTTCAAACCCCACTGAGTTCTGCATCAACGCAACTGAGCCGTATATGTCGATTCTGCACCGTTTATATCACTCAGTGGTAATTGCGATTATATTAGCACGGTAACAATGGATTCAAATTTGGGACGCGCATGCAACGCCGATCAGATCATTGGATGTGGACGCTCATTGTAAGTTCAAGTGCTTCGGGCAATATCAGAAGAGAGGTGGTCTCAAGTAGTTTGCATGCCTTGGTAGACTCAGCACCACGACGGTCGTTCTCTGCGAACATTATCTAGTTAGAGGCAATTCTTGCGCAGACTGTTGTCCACCAACACTTTGTCCGTTCCCGTACAGTCAGACCACCTACGTGCTGGCATGCTTGTTCAGATGACTCCAACACTAACGCCTCAACTCCCCGCTTCGACTTCGAAAAAGCTCAAGACCCAGCCTCGGCGGCGGCCTTCGCCTCCGCAGCCTTCGCCTCCGCAGCTTTCTTCTCCTTTCTGTCTGTGATGTCCTTTCGATACTCGTCGCTCGCCGCTTCCCACCGCGCCGCCTCCTTCTCCGGACTCCGATAGTCCAGTGCCACCCACTGTTTCAGCAGCTTCGCGTACGTCTCCCCAAACTCTTCTTCCGCGTCGTCCTTCCCCCAATCAACGTGCTTCTTGACGTAGCACATGAACTCGTCCGCGCAGTACTCCGCGAGCATTCGGTCCCCCATCCTAGTCGCCAGCTCGCGCATGCGCGCCTTGCCGACGGCCGCGGCCCAAGCGGCGGACTTTTTGTGCGCGAGCGCCAGCCCCGCTTCGTCCATCTCTTCACCGAAGCGACCGGTCAGGTGGCCGTCCGCCATCTTGATGAACACGGCTTTGCCGGCCTGCGGTCGGGTTGCTTTCACAGTGTCAGTCGAAGAAGGCAAATCCTACCAGGTTGGAAGAACGAAAACAAAAAGTGACAAGTCATGGTGGGGATAGATCATGGTGGGGATAGATCGGTAGTAATCTGATAAAGGTGATCGGACTCTGGACTGATTGCAACGATGGATTACAGGAGAGCGATCTGTGCAAGAGCGATGACTACAAATGAGCAAGGGGTCAGACTTGACGTCGGTCTCATCAGTTTTCATGAACCGGGACAAAACAGGGATGTTGACAATCCTCATGCGTGCAACTGGATGGAAGGAAGGAGTACAAGCCCGTTCACATCCTGAACTGGAGCCCAAAACTCTCAGACCCTTTACCCACCCATCTAGTCCCAAAAACAATTCTCTGAGTTATAAAATTTCAAACTCACCCTCTCGAGCTCCTCGAACGGTTGGCTCGCCCAGTCCTCCCGCCCTAACGACAGGATGAAGTTCGATGCGTCCCCTGCGTATACGACCCCCTCCTGACTCTCCTCAGCTAAGGCGCCCAGCGTCTTGCACGCGACAATGCGCGCTTTTAGCGGCGCGTCTAGTTTTGCCAGCTTGAGCAGCTCGGACAGCGGCTGCGCGTAGGCGTCGCCCGTGCAGTCGCGTGCTTTCCTGTCAGCGGATCGCCGGAAGGGAGCGGAACAGTGTCAGAACGGAGGGGGGACTCACGGCGGACTCGCTAGAAACCCCTTCCACCACAACCCCTTCGATCAACGGTCCTGGTCAGTGGACTTGATGAGCCCAGACCGTCAATCCTAGAGATTATATATTAGAGCTAGGCGGCTCGTTCTGTCAATTTTCGGATGGAGGACGCCGCTAATTCGGTTTAAATAGAACCATGTAACGGTGGACCTGCCCAAAGATTCGAAGCCAGCACACTTTTGAAATGGTTGCGAGGAGGCAACAAGCTCGAAAGGTGGCAACCAGCTTGAGCAGAATGAGTTCTCGATCTAGAGGCCGTATTTTGATTCAGAACGACGCATGGGATCATGCTTCTGCAAGCGATCGGCACGGGCAAGTACCTCTAGCTGTTTTGCTGCGGGGCACCGGCCAAAGGTGCCACCTTTGGCAGAGCCCTCCACAAAGCTCTTGCAACTAAAGGAAAAACTAGCAGATCTGGAATCTTCCTCTCCCTCTGGTCAGAGTGTGCTCGTTTCTGGCCTTCTCATTTTGCAGATTCATGCCATCAAGAAAGAATCCGCCGCTACTTCAAAGCGTTACCGTGGCCGTGAACCAGGCGGCCATGTTTCGTTTCCAGGGCGCTGCTCTTCAACAATGACAACAAGCTCTACATAAGATAAAGAACAAGCTCCGTAAGATAAAGAACAAGCTCCGCAAAAACAACGAGATGACAAACGAGGCCAACCAAGCTTCCATCAAATGACAATCAGAAGCGAGATTCACAAACGCAAAGCATCGCGGAAACATCCCCACCTGTTTGCATGGTGGTCAAATAATAGCTGCAGCGCCTTTGCTTGCAGTTCCGCGGACGACGCGGCGGTTGCCGCCTGCTTCAGAAGATTTGCGTACAAGAAGCAGAACTGATAAGCGCTGAGGTCGTCCTCCGCCCAAGACTCGCGCTCGTAGTCGTAGTCGTTGCGGCTCTGGCCGACCGTCTCGAGGGCGTATAGCTTGGCACGCGGCGAAATGAGCTCCTGCGTGAGAAATGGAGTTGTAGTGGGCGGTGAGAAAGGGCGAGCTTGGCGTTCTCTTTCGGTCTGCTTGATCGTCTACTGAAGCACGTTGTCGGAAGTTCTTTTACAAGCTGCTTGGTAGAAGACAACCGTTGAATTGCTGCGGGTAGGTTTGCTCTGAGGAAGATGACTCGCGACAAGCTTTTGGTCTGGGTCGAGAAGAAAGGAGACCGTGGATGCTTGGGCAGGGGGGACAAAAGTTCCTGGAGGAAAGGGAGATTGTCGACCTGCCAATGAGGTCGACCATAACCGCCTCAAGCCGAGTTGAGAAGTCTCTGCGTGAAAAGGGCATCCTCACTCATGCTCGACGAGCTAGGAAGCCAGATTAGGCGGACCTTTTACAAGGGTGAATTCAAACGCCAAAAGAACCGTTTTGGGAGACAAGATCTCTTCAGTGAACCGAGTCTAATTGCTGGAAACACGTGCTCTGTTCGAAAGCGAAGGCCGGCAAGGAACATACGCTTGTCTGAGGGTGTGCACACAATCATGATGACATGTTTGAAGCAGCATAGCAGCTACTCGGAGCAGCAACCAGCGGACCCAATCCTACAAAACTCAAAACCCCACACCTTTGTCTGCCAAGGCCTGTTATACGAGACTGTCACTCAGTGCTACGCACAGGAATCTCCACTCATCTGATGGGCTGTTTGCCCCAGACAGACCACCAAGACAAAGCAAGACCGCTTTCAAAAGACACAGATGAACGAGAGGTGTTGGCACCGCACCTGACTCAGCAGCCATCGCTCAAACCCCGGCGCCTCGAGCAACGTTTCCAACTTCATTAGGTAGCTCAGCTGGTGTAATTGCAGCCCGATGTCGCCCTCGTTCCCGCCCTCCTTCGCATTCCAGCAAATAACGGAGCCTTCGCAATGTGGGGACAAGCCTCCGCAGAGTGTCGGGGTTCGGGGCTCTACTAGCCATTGCGGTGATCAATCTCAGGCAGTCCCGCATGCGCCAGGTGGCGACGTCTGATACGCGCTTGCTGCACTCGGCCTTGTGAGTCCCGTTTCTGGCACTCAACGCTGTGGCAAGGAGGTAGGATAGAGGTTTTATGATATGTATCTTTTCACGAAATATGTGAGCTTTCATTTGATGAGGAGAGTATGGGCATTTATCTGAATGATAAATTGTGTATGTCATCATTGAGCCTCTCAAAAACCCTTGTTTGCCAAGCTAGAAACCTTTGACTTCTGCATTTGACACCCTGAAAAGACATTGGTTGGTTACGGATACTGGAGGCCACTGGGTGAACCTTCTCAGTGAAGCACTTTAATAACCTGTTTGTATGTTTCATTCTGCTTGTCGTCACAGCCTGTGGCCGGCTTTGTTCAAAGGAGTAGTCTGCCTCCATCATGGTCGCCAGAGAAGCTCAGTCTGATAGTCTATTCCCACTAGCGTCAGGAAGACCCTTTAGAAAACACTTGCTACCCTTGCAAAGGGCGTGTAAGCATCAGCCTAATCCTGCAAAAGATAACAGGTAGTTGCAGTGGCTATGTGAAGGTCTGAAATGACTCATCACAATTGATGACCAGGCTGAACGTATCCTGATAGCAGGTTGACCTTCATTAGTCTTAAAGTACACTTCCGGATCTCCAGAGAGACCAGAAGCGATGTGCAGTACAATTAGTATCATCTTTGTAGCTTCCTTCTCTGCTTCTGAAAAGGGACTGATCAGCAATCAATAGCGCAAGCGCACCAACGGTCTGATAATAAACGCCCTTTCTTCATTTGTTCCAGGCTTACATCTGGCATTTTGCGACATACCAACATTTCAATCTTCAGCAACCAGCCTGAGCAGACATCAAAGTGGACCACCTTGGTACATAACTCACCTGCAATACAGGATGCATTTACACTTCCCGCACCGTTGCAGTTGGTGTGAGCCTTCGGGGGAAATAGAGTGGCAGCCATCACAAAGGTGAAGTCCATTTGAAGACATGCTGTCTCTGCCCAGCAGCCTGCACTCCTTACGCAAGTATGAGATCTGATTGAACCAGGCAAGATAAAACTGAAATGGCCGCCCCTTTTCCAGTCACGCGCGAAGGCAACACAGCAACAATGATCCTCAAGGAAGGTATCTCTGTGGAATGCTGTGAGATGGCAATGCGGCCGAACTTCCTGTGAATTTTACAATGGCGGGAGTTTGCCGGAGCTAGCTTTACCGAACAGCCTCAGGGGTGAACACGGCCCTAAGTGAACACAAATGTCGCCAGTTTTCATTGAAGCAGCAATGGCATTGAGGCGGCCGCGAACGGCCGGGCCGAGGGATCATCCGATCCGACCCTAGGCGCGCGGCCGCCAGAAGTAACGCGCGCAACGCGCGCACAACGCCGGGTGCGGCCTAACATAAGCCCTTGCAGGAGTAGCGCAGCGCCTGCAGTGCCCTTTGGCGCCGACGCCCGCCACTGCTGATCCGCATGGGTTGCACTGAGTCTCCGTCCACCGGAGCCAATGCTTCATATACCGGTGTCAGCTCGTGGGGAGGATCGCCAAGGTATGGCTCAGTGCGACATTTGGCACTTTCCGGCGTGTGCCACTTAGCTGCTGAGAGCGCGGGAGAACGCCGTACTAAAGCGCAGACTTATCTGGAATCGTTTCAAGGACGTACGCTTGATTAGACATTGGATCTGCTCGAAGCTAATAGATAGAGTCGACGCTCGGCCAGCTTAATACAAAATTACTGGCGCGCTGATCCGAAGGTGCATTGCACCTGACAGCTCGCTGATATGTGCTAGTCAGACAAACCCTGGTTGTAGATTCACAATGGTGGGCGCGGTCGCCGAGCATCCGGTCGCCTTCTCCTGTGTCGTCAGACAAAAGAAAGGATGCAATTCAGAATCAGCGTTTAGCAACCTCGAGTATACGTACGAAATGGCTTACATTACGGAGACGTTTATTCCACCTGAATAGCTGCTCTGTAATTCTGCGGTCTCTGAGTTGAAATCCCGTTACCCAAGATATTTCGCTCCTCAATGACGAGACTTGCAGAGAGAATCTCGAAGTCGCCTTTTCGCAAATCGACGCTGATCGAATAAAACCAGGTTTAGAGAGGTCGAGACTACGATCCAATCAACGACCGTGAATCGGGGGCCTTTCTCTGGACTGACTAAGATCTGCCAAACATGATTTGGTACTCGTTTTTAAAAGCACTTTCTTTCAGACGTTTTGGTGAATGCACATCAAGGTCAATCTGCCGAAGTGCGAAGGATTTGCCTTCTGCAGGCCCAATACGTTAACATTCATTTCAACGCACGCGGGGGTTTTGGTTGGATTAGACTGAAGACCAGCCGCCCTAGTTGAAACCCCGTGCAACATGCGCTTTGCCAGGGGCACTCAAGCATCATTTGCGCGCAAGACTCATCGCAAAGTAGGCATCCAGACCAGCCGTTTAGGTCGAAGGTCGTTTCATGGCACATTTTGAACGAGTCAACGCCTTTGTGATTAGTCTGCACTGCCATTCCAGACAGGATGTGCTCCACGATTGAGCGTGGGTGCCATCACGCAAACGGAGGTTAACTGTCTTATCCTTTTCTGGCAAAATGGCAAAACTTCTACCTTACAGGTACTGGGGGAAAGCATTTGTCCGATGTGTGTCCTAAAGCCTGTCCAAACCTTCTTGAGATCTAGACAGGCCTTGGAAACTATTGGACAGGTTCTAGACAGAGTCTGGACATGGACTCCTAGGCTGAGAGTCACGGCCAGACTGCTAGGTCGTGTCTATCCTCCCGCTCGTTCCATCCTGATCAAAGATTGCGCTCCCTTTCGTACTTCGAGAACTTGTTGAAATCTCTCGAAAGGTTTCTTATAACAAAGCTGACTCAGGCGTCCCATGCACCGTCCGCCCTTTTGCCTTTAGCTCTGCCATTGGCCATACCACTGAGGCGGATCCAGGCTCGACCCGAGCTCCCCCTGAAAGCCGATCTGCTCCAGCCGCTTCTTCGCTCCCATCGCGGTCCACAAGAAACGGCAAATGTTAGACGACAGATTGCACACCACATACTCCGACACCTCCACCATAGCGTACAGCGTCGCCACCAGCTTATCCTGCAGGTCGCGCTTCTTATCGCCCGGCACGTGCGAGTGCTCGTCCACCGCTTCGAGCAGCGCGACGCTCTTCTCCCAGTCGTACATGACACTGACGTCGGGCTGCAGGCCCACGGACCCGGGGTCCGCTGCGATGGTGTCAATGACGGTCGCCGAGTCGCTCGCGACGAAGACGGCCGCGAAGTCGAAGCCGCGGGCGCGCTCGCGCGCGCGGATGCGCTTGCCGTAGTCGCTGGCGGGGCGGTACGCTTTGTGGGCGACCCAGTAAGGATCTGCACCAGAACGTAAGCGAGGGATGGGTTCGCATAAGACAACCAGAAAAGCGATACGGCTCTGCTGGTAGCTTGCAGAGCTTGCTTTACCTACCCTTCCTCTTCCGAACCGGAGATGTAGCAATTCAAGAATAGTCTATCAGAAACGATGCATAAATGGATGCCCGTTCCAAGAGCGCTAGAATCCTTAGTGAGCGATCGGTGCCCCTTGCTTTTGTAGCGTAAGTTGGAAAATCAGTGACGTCTTTCCTTTTGGAAGACCCTGCAAAGACGTCTAATTGGAGCTTATTCCCACCTTCCGCCATCTTGTCCCCACGCCTGATGTGAAGGCCCACCACGGGCGGCCGCCACCGCTCGTACTTGCTCATCATTTTGTCGGTCAAGTCCTTAACCCGCGGGACCGGGTTGAAGAGCCAACTAGACGCGAGCGAAAAGAGCATGAACTGCCGCTGCTCGCTGCTCGCGCGCTCCACGCTGACGTCACGGTCCTCCATGTGGACCATACCTCGAGAGGCCAGGAGGTCCCATAGGCCTGCAGGCAGATCCATACGAGATGGCAGCACGGCGGAAAGAACACTTAGGACTCTTCTTATCAAGGATGAAGTTAAAAGAAACCGGGAATGGTAACGTGGCAGTATTGGCATCGAAGGGTCGAGGTTGATTGCTTGCACAGCCATGTTATACTTCAAATATGCAGCGACTAGAGCTGCGATTGAAGTAGGAATTTCTCGAGCACGATTTGAAGGAGCTATTGAGAAGCAGATTGTTTGCATAGATGCAACCCGTTCTTGCCGCTTATCTCTTTTGGTCTTCCTCAACCGCTGACACAGCCGATTTTTCAAAGCTTCGTATTCTCACCGGCCGGGAAAGTGTACCGCCAGTCGTACTCCCATCCCTTGAACGCTCGCGCGCGCAGCACCTCCTCCCGACTGAGCGCCTCCCGGGCGCTCGCGTTCTTAAACGGCCACTGATACGACGGCACGAACTCGCTCGCGCGCAGGAGCTCCGCTTTCCGGTGTGAACTCCCCGCCGTGCAGTTTGTGATCTCGAAGAAGCAGCCCAGGTGAAGGTTTTCACACCCCGCAAAGGCCGCCGACTCCCACTCGTTCCCCGGGACAGGGGACCGGGCGACGGGGATGACCGTGCGCCCAGTCTGGAGGCCGATGATGAGCGCGCGCAGGAACGCGTGGTAGTTCCACATCAGGCCTGAGGAACAGAAGCGCAGTTTGAGAAACAACATCACTTTCGAAATTGTATCCAAAGCAATGAATACTCGACTGTTTACAGATGATATTCTCCTCGACTTTGCAACCGCTGAATCAACTTTCGCTCAACGAGAGTTCCTGCAATGTCTCGATGGAATTCGTATGAGTTGGGAGGGCTTCGCTGACTCGGGACTTCGGAACGGACGGAATCGATGACTCCAATCAATTAATAGGCAAAAAATCCATTTCCTCGATCCGTACACCACAAAGAAGAAACCTGGATCACACGGTATGACAAACCTTGATAACTTGATACACCGAATCGAACAGATGTTGCTGGCCCGATCACAACGGAACAGCGGAACGCCGGCCCGAGCTCACCCGCAAGGTCCATCTCAACGACGAGCCACTTCGCGTCCGCACAACTGTCCGGGAACTGCTGCGCCTGGAGGAGTCCGTGAACCAGCTCGGACGCGGCGGACGTCCAGCGGAGGGCGGTCGGGGGGATCCCCTGGAGAGCAAAGATCACGGGTTTGGTTTAAAACGTCCCACTTCTGTAGGTGATACAAGGTGCCGTAACACATCGGCGATTGCTTCTGAAGCGGATTTGGTATTTTCAAGTTACTTGGCATTTCGGTGGTCGTAATTTGGCCGTTGCTTAGATTAACCTTATTACGTTTTATCGAAGAGGAGAACGAGAGCGGGTTTCAAGGGTTGAGTGCAGGGATCGTCCAGGACGAGAATAAGATTTGCATCGTTCGAAAGAGTGGAAGTCTCGACAGTTCCAACTGAAATTCAGCAGGGTGCGGATTCTGCAAAAACGTTCTTCGTACAACCTACGACTTCAGGCCGCACCGTTCCGTTTCTGCGGGCGTCTGCATCCCACGTCCTAAGAACCTTCTGACATTTGATCTTAGGGCCATCCTGATGAGATGTGAAAGAACTTTGTCCTCAAAAAAGGCTGGCTAGCGTTGCTTTACCGGTGTCACGTTTCCCGGCGGGTGCCAACTCTTCCGCCAGGTCGCGGACCTCCTCTCGTGCTTCGCAGCCTCTGTGACGTGGCCGAACGTCGCGGGCGCGGGCGCACCGCGGAGTGCGGCTGCTGCGCGCGGCGCCCCTTTACGGTGCCCGCAGTCTGGCACGTCCAGGTCAACATGCGGTCTTGACAGCCTGTGAAAACGAGAACTCATGAAACTTATCAGATGTTCGACTTTTGAATAGCTTAAAGTAACTTCTTGCACATCTTTGAAATGCCCATTGCCTCAGGAAGAGTTCACTGAAGTCCCCAGTGTTGCTTCTCCATCTTCTCTGGCCTTTCAATCATGTCCGAAGGAGGACCGTTAACTTTCCAAAGTCGAGGCTCGATCAGCAGTTGCTAAATCAACGGCCGCTTGTTTTTCCTTTCCTGAAAAGGCCTGCAAAGTCAAGCGGTCTGCACTGACTTTCAAAAGCATCAAGGCTATTGATCGAAAGTTTCTAGCTAGAGTCAGACTCGTTGGTCAATACGTATTCGGAAAAAACTTCATTAAGGAGGCGTAAAGCAGAGTCTTGTTCCAACTCGATGACCTCCGGTAATCACAGCGTTCCAATGTTTCTTTCTTCTTCTCTTTTGCTGACTGCTTCGTCGGTCAGCTTCATTTTAAGCGTCATCTCTCACCTTCCCAAGCTCGCGATCTCAACCAAAACGTCCTCCTCAACGCGCGCGCGCGCGGCCTGCCCCGCGCCCCGAAACATCCCCAAGCTCAAGACCGCCACGCAAGATAGGAGCAGGAGAAAGAGCTGGGCCAGGCCGATCCGGGCATGGCCCTTTCCTCCCACGACTCTAGTTGTCCTTCCCACCAGGGCGTAAGCGGCGGCATCCTTTGGGAAGGCCATGAGGGCGTCTTTAACAAAGAAGGCTGGGTATGAATTCCTGACTTTGACGGGTCGCAAGAGTGGCGGACGAAAGGTTACCAGCAGCCTTTCTGAGCTTGCCAAAGAAGTTTCCTTATAGGGAGGGGTAGACTGCGCTAGGGACTCTGATGCACACCCTGTTCCGTTGGCTGCGAAAGCGCCCCTCTGAGTTAGTGTACTGCAGGAAGAGGAGGGCACTTGAAGGATGACTGTGTCGTGGAGAGTGTTCTTCATTATGCCGAGTGTTCAGACACTTTGAGATTGCAGCCGCGTACTGATTCAGACGTCGAAGGAGGTCTCACATTTGCGTCGAGCGCTTAGCAACGAAACGAGCTTGGAAGCGAGAAGAAGACCGAAGAGTCAGAATTGAAGGATGCAATCGCAGATCCCGTTTCTCCGCGCGAGGCTTTCAGAGGGAGCAGTACAGTTCTGGCTTCCGACCATTCGAGGGGCCTGTTGCTTTCTGCCGGTTTACAAGAACTCATAAAACCTCGCGACAGTTACTTCGGCCCCTCAAGGGTCTCGATCGCGGACCTCGGCTTGTCTTGGCGTTGAACCTTTCTTTGAAGAGTCTCGTCGAGCTTTTCAGACTGGCAGCAGAAGCAGCTGACAAGTGCTCAATGTTCCAGCAAATCTCGTAAACCCTCGTTTCCACTCGCGGTCCCCCAAAGCAAGGTAAAGTCATGACGAGAGTTACGAAAACGAGAGGGACTCACAGATATGAGCAAGCGGATTCGTTGCAGGCTCGTTTCGCGCAAGGCTGAGCAGAACGATTCTCGAAGCTTTGACGGGCCTAGTCTTTGCAGCTCCGGGGCGAGTAACCTGCAGATTTCGACTCGGGACTCAAGTCCACGTGTCAGCTTGGGCTGTGGAGCAAAGAGATGGCCTCGGAAGGCAATCTAAAATTGGAGGAGGAACCGGCAATTCTGGCAGAACCACACGGATACACCCCAACTGAGTCTGACGCGTCATTACCTCGTGATCGAAACGAGGTGGAATTTCAAAAGCCGCCTCAGGCCCAACTAAGGACACACCTCGGATCAGCTGAGCACAGGTTAACCAAGTGAAACGCAAAAAAGCTCCTCGATGACAGCCAGAATGTACACCTTCATCTCGTACTCTTTAGTGTCTCCGAAATTGCAGAAGAACGCTCGAGGTTTCGATGACGTACAGTATGCAATAAAAGAAAACCTGGACTCTTTTTCGGACGACGAGGCGACCATGTAGATTCATACCTGTGTCCTGGTCTCACCTGAACATTGCTGCATGCACTTGACCTTTATTTAGGATTGTATTTTTGGATTCTAGAAAAGAAGGGAAGAAAGATCGAGGAAGGGAAGGCCGAGCAATTCTGCGACGTACATGTACGCAATCTTACGCATGTGTGCCAGCAGGAAGCTACACACTTCTTAACAGCAATACATCATCAATTGCAGACGTCGTGGTGACCGGTTCTGTAAAGCGACCTAGCGACGATCGACTGCCATCTGCGCAGATGCATGCATGTCTTGCGACTTCGTCAGTACGGAAAGCAATTTGAATTGGTCAAGGTGAACAACTTGAGCTGTAAAAGATCCTCAGTTTGACCGAAGGGACCGATCTCAGCAGCTGCTTTACTCGAGAGCAGGCTTTCACCGTGGCCTCATTGCAAAAGACGTTTTCGACTTCTTGCCTGCGCACTCATCTTCGGATCATGTTATCCTTCTTTGTAATTAGTTACCTCAGCTAGAGTTGATCGTAGCTTTCTCTGCTATTAGAAAGAATGAAAACGATCCTGATGACAATGCTGGTCCTGTAGATTCGCTGACAAAGCGGCTTGAAATAACCAGAAAGAAGGCAACTCTATATATATGATGCTAATTTCGTGGCAGATTGAGAGCTGAGATTCGGCAGCATTGCAGAGCTATGTCCTAGTAGTAGTAGTAGTAGGTAGATGTCCAACGTTGGAAGCACCGCACCACATGCAAGCCAATGCTGTCACATCAGGAAGCGTTGGCATGACAAGACGTCTCGGTCCTGCCCCAGCAGTCCGAGTCAGCTTTATGAACCTAGGCTCTAGGGCGCTAGCTAACCACACCCAGATCTCTTTGGTTCTGACTTCTTACCGGTCTCGCCTGCTGGCTAGGAAGCTAAAAGCTAAAAGCGTTGCCAGACCAGAAATGCTGCTCATATAAGTCCCGTCTGATCTGAGGCTCTGTTAGACCTACAGCCCAATTTGGGTCCACCCTTGATTTCCTTGCCATGGCGTCCCCTTGCTCCCGCTTCTGGGTCCTCTTCTCCTTCACAGTCAGCTTCTTCCTTCTGTTCCCTGCGGTTCTCTTCTGGGGCGACAAAGTCAGCGACCACTTTCTGTCAGTCACCTCCTTTCCTGCTCTAGGGGGGGTACAAATCATGATGGAGGAGCCCAGCAAGCCTTGCCCCCCTGTTGCAAATGTGACGGCGGCTCCAGCCCTTGGGGGGGCAAAGTTAATGGGAGAGAAGCCCTGCGAACCCTGCCCCCCTATTCCAAATGTGGCCGCTCCAGCGGTTCCCTTCAGTTGCACCTTTGCAACTGGTCGGGAAAGAAAGTGGACAACGGAGCAGCTCGACGCCTGTCCTGCTGTGCAGGCGCTCCTCCGGGCCTGGAACAGCTCGCGATTCTTCGACGGCGGGGTCGGCACGGGAAGTCGAGCGCAGACGGCGGAGAAGGGGCCACCGTTGCCCCCACATTTGGTAGACTGTGACCGGGTATCTCGAGAGGAGCTAAGCCAAGACAGCAGGCTGTCGGACGGGGGCCTTCCTGACTGGGCAGACCAAAAAGGGTTTGCGGGACACCCGGTTCCTGACCCGTTTTGGGTTAGGGGCGCCGACGCGGACAACATCCCCCTAACCAGACACGTTCAACAAGACCTGTGGCTGCGACAGCATCCGCAAGACTGCAACGCGTCGGACGTCCGCTTTCTGGTGGCGGAATGGGCGGACACGTCGACCCATGGATTAGGGTCCCAGTTACACGTGCTAACCGGGGGGTTTGCGTTGGCGGTCATGACGGGCCGAGTGCTCGTGGTCGACAACAGATTTGAGCGGGCAATGCACGAGGGGTGTGCGGGTGAAAGCAAGGGGACGCTGGACTGCTATGTTTTGCCGGCGACATCGAAGGAGTGCGCGGCGCTTGCGCTTGCGGGTAAGCGGCACGGGGCAGGATCCACTGCAGATCTCATCGCAGCGGCGCAAGGATCGGAAGAGCGGGTGGTTTTGCTCCCTGAATATGCATCAATGGATCACACGGTTATGGACATAGTGCCCGACTTGTGGGGGGAGCCTTGGAAGCTGGAACGGGGTTCGATCGAGTTTGAGGGGAAGATAGTGGACGAAACAGTTGGCCCATTTGACTACGCGGCAAAAGTGTTTGGCCCCATGAATTGGTGGAGGGCGCAGGCGACGCGGTATCTGCTCAGGGCTCCGAGCGCGTACCTGTGCAGACTGATGAACGGCGCGAGGCACGATGCGTTTGGGGTGGAGGTCGCGGCAGGGCTGGCGGAGAGCGTGCGCTTTCAGGGCGAGCATGCGCTAGAAGGGGGTGGGGTCCGCGTGGCTTATGGAGCGTTGGAGCAGGTGTTGTGGAAGGATGACGTGTTTATGCCGCGGCCCTACATAAACGTGCATGTGCGGCACGCTTATGAGAAGAGCGGCGAGATGCGGATTGTGGACTTGCCTTTCTTTATGGAGCAAGCGGAGAGGATTCGGCAGCATAACCCAGCGGTGCGGACGATCTGGTTGAGTACTGAGTCTCAAGATATATTAGATCAGGCGATAAGCAAGTATATGCCTCACTGGAGTTTGTACTATACGAAGGCAGAGCGGATCCATTCTAATGAAAAGGATCCCTGGAATACGCACACGCCGGCCAAAGCGGGGTCGGACCTGGCGTTTGTCAATTTGTTTTTGGCCGCGGATGCTGATTACTTTGTAGGTGTGTTGGGATCGAACTGGAACCGATTGATTGACGAGTTGAGAAAGACTAACGGAAAGCGGAAAGCCGGGTACATTGCTTTGAACTACGAACAGGTAAAGTAGATGAACCATTCAATACTTGCACTGCAATTCAACAAGATCTTTTAAAGACGACTTTGCCAAGCCGATCAACCAGAATCCTCTTATGCAATTATCGAAGTAAGTGCGTACGCCATCGTCTATGGTAGGTATATGCAAATGGCAAGTTGCATTGAGACTTGGACCAAACGTCGTTGGGGTTTGGCGCCTTATAAGCCGCGCCTCTTTCCATGCTCGTTAGCTAAATCCAGCTTTCGGAGCTCATCTGCAGTCATCCAGGCCCTCCTGCCATCTGGCCGCTGGCGCCCAGCATTGAAATTCACCATGTAGTAGATGGTAGCTTGAAAGCCGTCAAATATATTCTCTACGATCAAAATTTCAACTATCTTAGTATTGATATGAGCTTGCAGCTCAATGAATGGTCGAAACATCTTGACAAGATGAAAGCCAAGTTTGCAGAAGCTAACTCGAGGATCTACTGTTGTCGAGCCAGCGGCGAAGGCGCAGTGAAGCTGCTCAACCAGGACGCCTTTCCTAAACTATATAACTGTCGTACTCTTTTGGACCTGTGGCCTATTCCAACACTTTTCGTGCAAGCGTCCAAAAGGATGCCTGCAAAACCGTCCAACATAAAGGGTGTCTTCAATCCACTTTCCCTTACGGCTGCATCATGATCCCTAAGAATCTTGTAGAATCTGGTTCTGGCCCTCAGCGGCTGCAAAGTGTTTTCGTGCAAGAAGAACTTCATGGCAAAAAACTTCAAGCAGAACAAAAAAAGAGAAGTTGAAGAAAAATGATCACCGGAATCCTACAGTAGCCTATTTTCTGGAATACCGGGCTGGCATCTGGTCACGAGCTTCGAGATTTGTCTCGTCCTCCAAACGCCACCCTTTAAGCTCAAGCGCTTCCTTTTCGAAACACTAACGAACTCCTTGCCCACAATCATTCAACAGTACAACCTAGACAAAGTTCGATTTCCAGCCTCAGTGTATCCAGACAAGTGCAAGTGTTGCTCTCAACAAACGGATGAGACCATCTTCCACGCTCTCTGCAGTGAATGCGGCGCTGGTACTGCATGGCAGAGGCCCGAGACGAGGGTTTCAGAACTATGAGCAAGCACCAATGAACGATAAAGTAGCCAATCTTCGAAGTAAAGGAGAAGCGCTGCAGCATTTCTTTTGCCAAAAGCCGTCGACCTATCAACGGGGTCTTATTCTATTAGGCGTTATCCAGTTCCTTCAAATAGCTGCCAACCAGGACTCACCCGTCATTGACCTGGAATGCTGGAAGCACTGTGTAAAAGCGTTCAGTCCGAATTGCTGCTAGCTTTTTCAAGCATCTGGAAAGACAGAAACAGATCGCTAAACGTCGACGGAGAAACGGATGGTCATTCAGGTCATTCAACACTAGTAGTAGGACGAAAGTGATCTACCAACAAAACCGCCGTCGGTTCCATGATGCTAATTTTGCAGGTTCATAGAGCATCCGACAGGAGCATCACTGAGCGGCAAACCAGTGAAACCAGCTGCTCCGAACCAGCTGCGCAGGAGCAGAAACGAGAAACTAAGGCTTGCAGGATTCTGCAGCACTCTCCGCCGCCGCCATTGGGCCAGGGGGTGAGGGGGTTCCCTCAAGTTCGCAGATCTATACTGTATCATGGACCAGGTTAGTTGGGGATGCGGTTACGCAGACGGTCGAGGACCGGGCCGGATAGGTAATCACATTTCCATTAACCGCCATCTGGCCGCTGACGAAGTGACTGTACGGGACAATTGGGGTTACGCTGGCGGGATCGATGGTCAGCGGCTAACCCGACCGTTGAGGACCGGGGCCTCTTTTCCCTAGCACGGGCGCATGGAAACCTCGGTTATGGGGGGCCGAGTTATGTAGATGTGTGGTTACTTGTGAACCTATTATCGTATCCTCTTAACCTTGCAAAAATGTTGCTGCATGAGGAGCCTCGTTGCACTAGACACTCTCCTCAGCCTGCTCAGGATTATAACAATAAAACTTATAAAGCCATTTGCAAGGTTAAG